GGTAATGTACTAATATTTTTACTAACATTCTTGAACTTTTGAAGGCTAGGTCTCATATTCAGTTCATTATGGTTTCAAGAAGTGGAAATAATGCTGCATACTACTTAGCAACTTGTGCAAAGAATGGGGTGGTTTCCAATAGAATACTTGTTACAACACCATCTCATTTTCAACATATTTTAGAGAAGGACGCTCTTAATGTTGTAGAACGGCAGGCTTATGTATTTGATTTTAGTAGCAATGATTGTATCGCTAATGTTAGTGTCAGTGAGCGTTCAAGTGTAGGATAATTTTCTGCCCTGCCCTCTTTCCTTGGATTGTTCATTTGTATTCTTTTATGAATACACTGCTTTTGTTAATTAAAAAAAAGTGGGTTTAATTAGGATTTTTTTCCTTACTAATTTCTTTTGCAATGGAGAATTTGTGTGTGCGCTTTTTTTTAATTGTTTATAGCATATCAATAAAAAAAATAAGAAAATTTCAGCTAAGTCCCACAATGTGGACTTAATAAATTTTCAGTCCCGAAAGATTTTTAAAATTCAATTCAGTCTCTCTAACCCAAAATAAAATTAAATAAACAGGTCAAAAGATTATTTAGTCCTTAAATGACAATATACATATAAATGTTATTTGATTAAATTTTATATTTTTATTTTTTGTTGCAAATTTTCATATCTATAGTTGTTTTTTTTTATTGTTTGTTGTAAACGATCATATATATATATATATATATGTAAATGTTATTTTTTGATTGTTTCTTATAAACTTTTATATGTATAGTTATTACTTTTCTATTTATTGTTGTGAATGACATAATATGCATAGTTGTTATTTGTCCATTCCTATAAATTCTTATACGTGGAGTTGTACGTTTTCTATTCTTTGTTGCAATTTTTTATATAAAGAATTGTTATTTCTCTGTTTTTTGTTGTAAATTTTTATGTATGGAGTTGCGCATTATCTATTTTAAGGGCTAAATGGTCTTTTTATTTGTTTGTTTAATTTCATTTTGTGTCAGAGTGGCTGAATTCAATTTTCAAAATTTCTGGGGACTGAAAATTTATCAAGTCCATATTGTGGGAGGAAACTGAAATTTTCCTAAAAAAATATCTAAGAATGTATTGATAGGAGATGAATCAGATGATTTCTTTTCGGCATCTGGCCAAGTTCGCAAGTGGAGACTTCTCGAAGGCTCAAAGCTATGTACTCAAAGTCAAAGATTGGAGGCACCAGTAGGTGGGACCCCGGAGCGATCCCTGTTTTTTTAGTTATTTTTATACGTGGCTTCTGACGTTCAATATATCACCTGTACAATTTTCAAAACGGATAATAATTAGCTTAAGAAATGGATTGCCTTTTGGCCTGTTGTTCTTTCTTTTTTATTTGGAGTAGTCTGGCATGTTTAAATTCAATTTAAATGAATCAAAATGTTCTTTTATTACTTTCAGTAGAAAATTAATCATGTTTTTATTTATTTATTACCCTTCTGGTCTTATTTATAAGTCATTTTCAACGTATTTCACACAAATCAAGAAAAACCTTAAACTACATGAATTCTAATTCAAAATTCAATGATTTTTTTAACTTTATTATACCTTATATAAACAAAGCTAACAGAATAACAAATGAAGGGTAAAATTATACATCTATATAAAAAATTTCTTTCAGTACCCTATAAATAGGACCAAAAAATATCTTTTCTCTGTCTTATAAATAGGACCAGAGGAGTAGTTTGGAATAAAGCTAAAACAAAATTAAAAACTCCAATAGAAATTTAAAAAAAGACTGTTCCTATCTTTTTTTTAAAATAAAAATCAGATGAAAAATATAAGTGATGAGCACCAAACAATCTAGTCCTTTGGAAAAAAACCTCGCTTATATCATATAAACATTTCAAATGTTTCTTATTTGATTAATTTTTCTTATTTATATGTTCATATAGTTCCCATATGCAAGTGCTTTTTAAATCTCAAACTAATGCCAATATATTAAAATCGCAATTGGCGAGTTTTCTTCTGTCATCATGCTGATACTCAGGAAGTGTTTGGATGGAAACTAAACTATAGTTTCAAAAGTAATTTTATGTATCCGAAAGAAATATTTGGAGAAGTTTATTTTGACTTGTGAAAAAATACTTTTAAAAAACATTTCTTATAACATCTAAACACCCCCTTAGTAGCATTTCCAAATTTCATCTCATACGTCCAGTTTGACTTTTCAATCTCAGCATCAACGTGGCACTACGATATTGGTGCTTTTATTTTAAATAAATATCTTAATAACATTTTATTTTTACTTTCTCTGCCGAACGAATTGTGTGTGTGTGTGTGTGTGTAAATCGTTCCAAATCAAAAAGCATTCCCCTCCATGAGGTATAATTAACTCTCAAACATTAATGCTTTTTTCCAGGTTGCCATAGAACAAAAATAATACGCACTGTGGCATCCATGGAACGATTTATAATGTGGCATTTCCGCAGATATTCTTTTACAATGGAGCATTTGGTTGTTAAAAATCTAATTTATTCAGTCCTGGACTCCAATTTACTTTAATATGATTAAGGGGTTTTGGCCACGAAAAAAAATGAAGGTGGGGGGGCTTCATTTTTTGGTAAGCTAATTGATGCGGCTGCGGGGTTCAGAAACCAAAATAGTAGCATATTACTTGTAGAATTCAATTGTATATTCATCAAATTGAATATCAATTTTATGTTTTATGTAATTATCGTTGGGCTTCATTGCATAAGGACCACACACCAAACCAAAGACGCCCAGCCCATATTAAAATTAAAAAAAACCTAAGAAATCTGAAACAAACATAACCCAAAGCATAATACAGAAACCAGAGGTGATAAAGTAGCATCTTGGATATTGCAAAAATGAAATACAATAAACCAACAGGAATCGGATCTAGTGGAAGAGGCTAGTCTTTCACAATGTGAAGGATCAAGATCAAATCCCCGTTAGGAGATATGCTCACATTTAGTATCCGATAATATCTCGAATAAGATTACTTCTAATAAGAAGATACTCATGCTTTAGCCCCAAAAAAAAAAAAAGAAATACAACATGAGGAGTATGAGATGGGTACTGGCATCCTTTGCACCAAAAAAAGGACGAAGCACAAACCACCTAAAGCTGTTAGGGTTTGTTTGGTAGGAGAGAAATGAAGGGGAGAAAAAATTTTAATAAGTTCAATTTAAAAATTTAAAGAAATTGGAGTTAATAACTTTTAATTGGTTTTTCTTGCTTTTATTTTACATCTTTTTTTTTAATTAAAATTTTATAACTTTACTTCTTCAATTTTTCAAAGCAAACCCATTAAAAATTTTTTCCCCCTCCATTTCAGTACACCAAACATAAGGTAAAGGCAAGGGTATCCCAAGGGATACTAAAAAAACTTCCAGCAGATTGGAACTCCCATGAATCTCGTACTGCAATACCCAGGCTTGCATGCATAACAAACGAAACAAACCACACGAGCTGAATAATACAACACACCAACCAGAAGGGAAAACGACCAAAACTAGATAGCTTGAGTAGCCTAAGTATGGACAAGACAGTCATGGTACTACCCATTCCGAGGTTGTCTCTGGCCCTGACCCTCATTTCGCAATACCAGTTTTTTCGGCCGAAAGCTCGTAAAACCCTAGAGGAAAAAAGAGGGTCAATCGCTTCCCACATCTGTGCATTTGCAGAGTTGACAGAATTTCCTGTTCTTCGTTTCCTCCTGAACGTTTGACGCCTTGGATGAGCTGTGATTAAACTGGGATCATCATAAGCTAAGTAGGTTCCCAGCAAATGACCAAGCATTTTTGCCTCAGGTTCTGTATAGTAGAGTCTAGTGGCAGTCCATTAATATCTACTCAAATGTGATCATATTCAAAATTGGAAGATGTACTTATATTTAATATCGGACAGTATTTCAAACAGAATTGTTTCAATTAAAAGGATGCATATGCTTATTTAAAAAAGAGAAAGAGAAACCTTGGCTATTGGCACATATTTTGAGTAATTTGGCATGTTTAAATTCAATTTAAATGAATCAAAACGTTCTTTTAGTACTTCATATACAAAATTAATGATGTTTTTATTTATTTTAATATGGAAGAAGTTAAGACAATAAAAACTCCCATAGAAATTAAAAGGCTGTTCCTATCTCTTTTTTTTTACTTATTTTAAATAGAAAATCAGATGAAAAATACAAGCGATGACTAATGAGCACTAAACAATCCAGTCCTCTGAGGAAAAAAAAAATGTAGGCTATAGTATATAATATAAACATTTTAAACGTTTCTCATTTGATTAATTTTTATTATTTATATATTTCATATTGTAAGTACTTTTCTAATAACATAACAAGGCTAATGACTATTAACTTGAATATAATTGAAGAATAATTTTTAATTCATTAATAATATCCGAGAAGTTTAATTTTCAACACCGTTCAGCAGTACGATCATCATGAAAAAAAATCAATCATAAATAACTCATGATGTTAGTAATTTTGTATTTATAATTGTGATATTATTAAAGGGTGTATATCTTTTCCCCTATATTGACATTTGTTGCACGGAGATGAGCTTTATTTCGAATTATGTAAATAAATCTTCTTCGGTCTCCAATTAGATGTCTTGTCACTCATGAGGACCAACCTATTAATTTATCACATGATGACGAGTATACGTACCACTACAAGCAGCAGCAATTTTCTATTCCTGGCCCATTAAAATACTGCAACATTCACAAAATCTTCATTGCGGCAACATCATTATTTTTAAAAACTTTTGTTAATTGTTTCAGATAATTCATTATAAACATTGACAATAATTAGAAGAGAAGACAATGATTAAAAACCCTGAAAGAATATTAATGTAAAACAAGGACTTATTTATAATTGGAACTTCAAAATTTATAACTTTTGATGTTTCTTAAAAGTCCTTATTTTACATTAATATTCTTTTAGGGCCATATTTCGTAATAACCAATATTTCTTGCCTCTGTTATAACTAGTATATTGAACTAATGGATGCGACAAACGTAAGTTCCAATGCAACCCACGAGAATGTAAACTGGTTATATACAATAACAAACCAAACATAATATCGTACTAAATTTAATCACATATAATCCCGTCAAGTCTTATCGAGCTTAGCAAAAATGCCTCATAATGCAGCTTACGATTCAAGCATCTGCCTCCCCTTCTGCAAGTGCCTCTCTAGACATGTTTTGCAAGAAATTTCCGAGTAGCCTCTGATCAAAAATCATATGTGGCAGCTGACGAGAAAAACTCTATGACGTCAAGCATATGCACAAGAACAGACGTTGAAATAGTCCGAAGAGACAAGGAGAGGAGAGAAATACCTTATCCCCAAAGAATATCTTTGTATTATCGGCAATGGCTTCGATGAATTTAAGCTCAAGAAATTCAGGGGTAAGCTTCAACCTGTTTGCTTCGGCCTCTTTTGTTACCCTTCAAATTGGAATTGGAAAAGGAAGGCTAATGCCATTAATCATTTCTTTCTTCTAGGAGGATAAATTATTGTGTCGTATTAGTGAATAACAAAACTCACCGGTAGAAGTCCGCATCTGCCAGGCTCTTCTCACGTTCTAGGTACATTAGGTTCTCAATTTCTTGCTGGCGCCTAGAACCTTCCTTTTCCGCCAATTTCTGCTCCATAAGGATCTTGCTAACATTGGCATTTTTCTCAGCCTCACTAATAGCCATCTTCTTCGAAGTCTCTGCCTCCTTCTCAGATACTTTCTGTCTTTCAACAGCAATTAAGACCTGTCCAACACAACCAAAAACATGTGTGCTCAACAGCAATTTTAGAAAATTTGGCCCCCAAAATAAAAATATGTTTCTAGAAAGAAATCGAGCCAAAAAGCTACCTTAGTGCGTTCCTCTTCCATTTGCTCAAAGTTGCGTCTGATGCTATCTGGAATGGTTGGTTTTGTGACACGGACACTGATAACTTCAATGCCTGGAGCATAGCGGGTGCAATCAACTTGGAGAGCATCTTTCATCTTTTCGTCAATCTGAATGAGCCAAAATAGTCGTGTTGCCATAATAAATGTCAGTATGTCATCATCATTAGAGAGACAAAAAAAAAACTGGAAGACAAATGATATGTAATAGAGTCACTGATCTACAATACCACAACAGGTCATAAATTCTACAACAGCAATTAAACTTAAGACTATCATCAACTCTTTGAGGGAATGACAGTAGAATCTAGAAATAAACGTTCATCAAGGCATATCATATTGCTTGAAAATTATAGTGTTCAGGTCATTCCCCACTTTATCAGCCATAAATGAAAGTGACTTATATATTAACTATAGCAATAAAAGATACATTTTTATAACGTAAGCTTTTCCTGATCAGATTAACCCACCCTCCCAACCAAAAAAAAAAAAAAGGCCACATTTACCTGATCAAAAACATCAATATAGACCTGTTGAAGACTATGAGAACTGCAGAACTGATTAATCTCATGATGAATCTTGTCATATATCCATGTCTTGTCATAATGCACCCCATAATTGAGCAATGTCTCATAGACATATTCCTTATGAAGTCGATTTACAACCTTAAAAGAACAATAATGGTGACAGGAAAAATCATTTAGCCTAGCAAAAAATTAGATTGGCTAAGAATTATGTTATTAAAGAAACTTATGTTTGATATTTACTTCTATCTTCTCAAAATTGATCATGACGCCTCCTTTAGTACCACATGGTATATCTGTCACCTGCAATTGTTGCAATAATTCAACTTACTGTGCCATTTGCCAAGTGAAACCACAAATTTAGAAACCGACCTAAACAAATTACCATATCTGTCTGAAGTGTCACTTGAACAGGCTCATACTGGGTTATGAAAGGCATCTTTAAATGAAAACCTAGAAAATTTAGCACTAACAACATGAAGCGAACATTGGGCCAGCGGATGTTGAAGAAAAACAACAACGGCAACAACAGTAACAGCAACAACAAAAATCAAGACGCAAACTATAACCTGGTTCTGTAATTGTCTTCAGAAGAGCACCTCCTCTCCAATACACGCCCACATGGCCTTCCGGGACTTGGTGCAGGATAGAAAGGCTATTTTTAAAGGATGATGGTGATGAAGGGATCAATATCTGCAAACAATTCCTCATGTCTTAAGTTTCAGATTTTGATTTTGGAGTATAATCAACTTGAATGTAATTTTAAATGCAGACTTGCTGTTAATAACAGAACAGCCAGACTTTCGCCCCAGACAACATTAATAAAGAAGCCATAGACAAAAATGTGAAAACCATCATATTATTATTTGAACCGATCTCTTTCCTGACAACAAAGTAAGGAGGAAAAATAACAGCAGCAGCATGCTTTTTTTTTTTTTTATTAACCGGTTACAACGGACTACTACATATGATAATTGTCATTACCCAATCTAAATAGTGCAAACATGATCCCCTTCCCCACCCACAGAAGGAACAAGATGAAATATTTATTTGCTGTGCAATTCAAACCTGAGGCATACATGAAATACATCCCACTGAAAGTTACAAAACAGCGGGTCAGTTAAACTTCTAGGGGCTAACAAACATTTCAGGTTACAACGGAAGCAACAATCGCCTTGAATTTCTTTCCACAAAACATAGCGTAAAACACAGAATATCGTTTTCCTTTATAGCCACCGGTTCAAAAGTCAAATCCATAGATATAAATTGGGGGGAAAAAAGGAACTGCATAATCAGCTAAAAATATTACATCAAGGGGAAAAAAGGGAGAGGAGACCATAAAACCACATTACTAAAACAAATTCAGCGAAGTCAATGAAGGAATTTATATACGGTTACACAAATGCGATTTCGAGCAGTGCCATTCTTCGGCCGACTTAGAGCAATAAATGCAGTTGAAACTCATGTAATGAAAATGCGCATTCCAGCAGAGATTACGAACACAATCGAAGAACAAAACCGAGTATACATATCTTGCAGCTCAGGAAAATGCAACATTGAGCGAGAGGGTTACCATGGCAGCGATGGCGATGAATGGGAGAAAAACAGTGAGAATGGAGGACGAATCGGAGGTTTGCGTCGGAGGACGCGGCTGATTAGCACCAGCCCTCTGTTGATTTGGATCCATGGCGACTCTCTGGGCTACCTTGACCAGTCACAGAACAACGAATCCGCGGCTTTTACTTTCTTTGTGGCGAAGAATAATTTGCAATTTAGGGAGAGATGAGTAAAGAACGGTAACAGACAGATTCGCTCTCTGTCCGAGAAAATGAATCCAAGAAGAAAAAGTTGAGGGGAAAAAACAGAGAGAAGGAGAGGAAGATCGGTGGAACCTCCGGAGGAAGCATCCGGTGAGGTGCGATGTCTAGGGCTAGAAAAGGGCAATATCTCAATTTGTTAGTTCCGGTCAGCAAGCAAACGGGTTTAGTGTCAACTCATGGGCTTTTGGCACATTAAAAAAAAAATCATTTTTTCATATTTCTCATATGTTTTATTAAAAAATAAAAATAAACTAATAAATTTATTAGTAAAAAATATAAATATGAATAAAATTAAGTTACAAATAAAAAAAAATATCATATCTAAATATCTATTAACATGCAAAAAATCTAAAACATCCATTAGATATAATAAGTCAATAACATTAATATCCAAAAATTCTATTAAAAGTAGACAAACGCTTTAACTAAAAAAAACCGTGGAAAACTATCATCAATTGTAAAAATATTTGATTGTGTTTCCCTAGTAATATGTTCTTCTTAAGTTCTGAAAATATCAATGATTTCTTTTCAATACTATTTAGCTATTATGAGGGCTAATATGTCTTCTTTTGTCTTTTTGAATTGAATCTTTTGCCCACTAATAAATTTATTTAAAAGTATCAATGTTAAGTTTATTTTAGAGGCTTCAACTTAGTAACCACTGGAAATTGATTTTGTGTTGTCTACTTACTAACTCCAGTTCTAATTATAAGACAGTGTTTGTAGTGTGCAAACGAGGTCTTATAATTAGGACCGAATGTAATATTTTTTTTGTTAGGATTTAATTGTGAAAATCACTTTGCTGCACGGTCTCATGAGAAGTCTGAAAATATTTTAGCACTTTGAATTGATCTATTGTATGCTTTTAATGAGCTAACTATGCCATCCTCTTTTTGTTTTTGTTCAACATGATCTTCTTTGGTTTTGTCTAACTTGTTTGTCTAACTCTATTTAAATATAGAGTAAAAATTTTGATATAGTCACTATAAAAAAATGTTAACTTATTTATTAAAATTTTATAACATATATACAAATTAATACATATCTATTGGTTCGATCATTAAAATTTTTGCTTTAATACGGGGAGTATATTGTGCTTATTTTAATATATAACTGTTGATTCAAATAAATACAAATTTGAAATCTGATTTAGAATATGAAGAATATATTTTAATTTATTTTAATATCATTAGAAATTGAGGTGTTAGCTAAGAGTGAATGAAAGACTGAAAGTGAAACTTAGAGAAGAAAAGTGCGTAAAATGTAAGGGACTTAAGTTAAGGTCAAGAAAAAAATATAAATTAAGGGAAAAAAAACTATTGGCAGGCTTAAACAGGCTAGCATGCGACCCTACAAGGCTGGCCCGTTTATTTTTTACCCAAAAGGCTGATCTTTTTAAATCCAAGTTCTTTTTAAAGATCCCAAATTACAGGCTCGACCCTCAACTTAAACAGGCCAGCCCAACAGGCTCGACCCTCGACTTAAACCCAGCCCGACAGGCTCAACTAGTTTTCACGACTCTAGCTATGTCCTAAGAGCACGATTTTTTTTTAATGAAAAGGATTAGAATTGCTTTGGTCGATAGAATGATTAAATAATTTATAATTTATTTTGATTTTGATTTTAATCTATGTAATTTCAAATCATTGGTTCATTTACATCTTTAACCCCTATAGTGCCCTCTAGCCCCAAATTAACATTTAAAATCTGCTGACATGTCACTAACATAGTTTATTTTGCTATCATGGCATCCTAATCCGGAGGTTGACCAGATATCAAATTTTTCTCGAAAAATAGAGGTTATCTTCTTCCCAAAACCAAGGTGTTCTCTCGTGCATCATCTTCACTATATCAGAGACTCCATGCACCAATGCTGTCTTTTTTAAAACCTATGGTTTAAATTATAAAAACTAAAATCAAAATAAAAATAAACTACAAGAATCAAATATTATATTAATCTTAATACTTTTTATAAAAATTTGGATGAGTTGGATGTTAAAGAACACTTAGAGAGATAGTGACAACTGCACCTACTAATAATATCTTTATATTTCTAGCTAGATTTGAACCCACCATCTTATGTATTAAAATTATGAGAAATAAAATGCATTGAAATTTCATATTTAGAACTAAATTAAACTTTTATCCAGTTCTTATATTTAGGATCAAAGGTAGTATTATATAAGTTGTAAAAACATAATTATTCTATCAAATTGTCAAGGGAAAAACACCCTCCAAGAAAAACCTAAACTCTCCCTAATTCTCGCTCACACCACAAGCATACATAGACAGAGAATATGAAACATGTTATGATTTCCCATATGAGAATGTAAGAAAACTAGTTAACTGTGACCAAGGAGAAAAAAATCGGACCAAATTGGACCGGTTCAACTAGAAAACCAATGAACCGATCTGAGGTTCGGTCTGGTTTAGCTTAAAAACTGGCCCTCAATAAATTCGGAATGACTCTGAATGAACCGGAAAAAATCAGCCAAACTGCTGGTTTGATTAGGCTGGCCTGTTGTATTCTCCCCCTTCTTCTTGCTCTCATTGTTTGCCAAACGCCTCACCATTTATGGAGACAATGAATACTATAAAGACAAGTGCTAGAAATAGAGCAGATCACAAAGGTGCTGGAAGATAGAACTTTGTTTGCACTGCTTTGAAGCATACCCATAGAAAACTAGAAGACAAGCAAAAATATAATAGAGAGAGTAGGATGGATGGATGAAGTGTATAGAGGAAAAATGGTGCTAGAGTTTGTTGTTTCTCCATTTGAGAAAGAAAGAGAAGTGAAGAAGGCAGGAAGCAATTTGAGAGAGAAGGGAAAATGATGATGCGTGCTCAATGAGGCAAGACCTACAGCTGATAGCCTATTCTACTCTGCTTGTTCACTGTCCAAGGCAAAAAGAAGAAAGAAAAACTGCTTCGTGATGTGCGATATAGGGAGGAAAATGAAAAAGAGGAGTGCATGTGGGGGAGAGAAGAAAGGTGAAGAGAAAAGAAACAGTAAAAAAATTTTAAAAATAAAAAAGAGAAATAAAAAAATTTGTATATATAAATATTTTGTAACATGATTACCTATTTAAAAATTAAATATTATTTTTTATAATTAGAATATGAATATTTTTATCAATTTTAACTAAATTATATTATTTTAATTATTACCGATCTGACCCCAGTCTAACCCCGATATGACCTACTAACACTTAAACCAATGTCTAAACTAGTTCATTATCCGGTCCGGTTTTCTGTTCCTTGACTGTAACTCATTATCAAGTTAGGAGAGGGTTATTTCTGCTCGACCAAGGTTTTAAGGCTCATAAATACCTAACAAAAGATGACATAAGAATAGTATGCAACCACGCAGTGAGCATAGAGCAAACTATTCTTTCACCTTTTACTAAAGAATATTGTATGTAGAAGTCTCTCTCAGGACCCATGCGTAAGATTACCTGTTGCTTTTGCGGCAAAGACTATCCTAGAGTAACCCTTATTGCCCACTGTAGCGGCAGAGAATCAAGTGTCTCCACCTGTCACCCTTAGTGGTAGGTGGGGAGAAAGGCCATTCCCCAACTCTATACCTACTATGTAGATATGGAGCAAACAGTCAACATTTCTCTCACTGGAAAAAATGAGAGAACACCAAGCTACACAAGGCAAAAAGAATCCATTTCTACCATGAAACTGGAAAAGGGAGCCAAGAAACCTCATAGAGAAGGGAGTGAATGGAGATCAATGTTGAGACAATTGCTCCCCAACAACGAGGCTGGGATTATTGAGAAACTCACCCACTCTAAGGAGAAGGTGATTCAAGAAAATACCACACCAATTGCCATGGAAGCTAAACAAGTTGCGAAGGACCAACAGGGACCTCAAGAGCCAAAAATGCTTTTCTTCAAGGATAAGCTTCTAAACATAGAAGGACATAACTGTGACACCATGTAGAGTGAGCTCACTGTTGAAAAAGGCAATGTCGTTGTTTCATTAGATGGACTCATACCCATCATCTCTTTCTCTCAGCGTATTAAGGACCTCATGGAGAAGTCCATGAAATATGTAGTAGTGAAGTTGATGGGCCGCTATATCAAACAAGAAAACTTGAAATAAAAAAAATATGGAAGCCAACAGGTAAATTTAAACTGATCGAGTTGGACGGTGGTTTTACATGGTTAAACTTGAAAACGAGCAGGATTATTAAGTCACAATGTTGGGAGGGTCCCTAGGTAGTCTTAGGACATTATCTCACAGTGCATCCCTTGGAACCAACATTCTCCCTGACAAGCCTGGAGATCAAACAAGTGTATGGGAGGGTGAAGCTCCCAAGACTACCATACCATTATTACCACAAGAGTGTCTTTCGAGCTATAGGTGAATTTATCAACCAAGTCCTGAGAATTGATTACAATATGGTGGAAGTAGGGAAAGCACGCTTTGCTCACTTGGTAGTGAAGATAGATTTAACTAAGCCACTAGTATCAATGATAAGACTAGATGGAACTACTCAACTAGTTGAGTACCAAGGTCTTCCTGCAATATGCTATCACTGTGGTTGATATGGCCATTTGGATGCTACCTACCCAATGAAGATGCAATCGTAACAATAATCTAAGGCCTCAGCTAGCTCACCAACAAACAATCCACCTAACGCAACCACGACTCTACCTGAGAAGGAAACTAAAACGCATGACCACAATGTAAGTGATGGGCAAATCTTTGGCGAGTGGATGAAAGTTCAATCTTGAAGAGGGAGATTTAATCGAGACAGCAAAATGCAACTTGACACTATTACTAAAAACAATCACTTTGACATTCTTTCTACCACGAATGGGACTTCTAAGCATCAAGATAGAAACTTGAACATTATGCCCAATGCAAAGAACACACCTTTAGTTACCTCTAATGATACAAAGAGGACGACAAAAGAGGCAGACACTCTGAAGTCAATAGCACCCATAGGAAAAGGCTGTGGGAAATACGCTATCCCAAAGAAAACCCAACAACAAAAGCAACCTATTAAGACAATCTTTGACTCCCCTGCTTATACCATATCTCGTATTCCAACAACACTGGACCTGCCAAACAC